TAAGAAGTGAACAAGACATGTTTTCAGCATATTCATCAAGAGAACATCTGAAAGTGCCTACTTTCAACAAAGATAAAAATCTAGGATTTAATTCTAGCTTCCCAAACTACACTCTCATGCAGGTTCCTAGATTCAGTGGATGAAGGTGGGACTAGATGAACATAGGGAAGCTGCTGAAAATTTTTCCTCACAGGAAAGAGACTGTTTAGATTTACATTATTTCTCCAACTTTCTCTACCCTTTTGAATCTCTCATCTATTTCATAGAAATAAGATTAATAAAAACTTACTGGAATTCAGAAATGATTAAATATATTAAAAAATTTAAATGTGATATTTAAAGGTATTTAGAGTCCTACAGTCACCTTAAAAGCAATATATTTTTATGCAAGAGGAAACCTTTTTTCCAGCACTTTCTTTGAGTTGACATCTCAGTTAAGTGCTAAATAAAATAAAATACCTCTTAGGAAAGAATGGCTAGTTTCAGCATTTCTTCTATATTCATTTAGAAGGCTCATTTTAACATTGCCCACAAGATAAAGTCTAAATTCCTCAGCTCCAAAAGTTGACCTCAATCCTTTAGGCATCTTCTGCCTCACTTCTAGAATGAAACTACACCCATTGTCTCAGAAGTCAGTGTACCTATAAATCACACTCGTGTTTCTCCAAGTCTTTGTCCCTGCTATTTTGCATATTCTTCAAATATCATCCCTCTTGGATGATTTTCCCAGATCTGGAGTCATAACCACTTCTTTATTTTCTCCATTCTTTCTTTTTTTTTTTCATTTATTGCCCTTAGTTAATTCTGTCAACTATTTCAGCTAGTTATCTGCACCCTTTTATCACCATTAACTGTTGCATTGGGCAACACCACACTGATAAAGAAATGGGAGTGGTGGAGCAGGCTACATAATGCAGGATGCTGCTGAAGAGCAAGTTCCTGGCCTTTTTATTGGTAGAAGCATCAGTTATAAGGAAAGAAGGAGAAAAAAGAAAAGAGGAAGAATCTCGTAAGAAGGAAAAGGGAAGAATGTAACTAGAAAATCAGGGATTGTGAGTCTGCCCTCCAGGTACTTCTTATCTGCTTGATGACTCGGTATTGTAATTGAGATCAAGCCCTAGTTCCCCAGCCATGGTTTCAATCTTAACAACAAGGTTTTCCACTGATCAGCTTCTGGAGTCCCTTGTTATACATCGTCCCCGCGCACCCCCCCACACTCACACACCGCGCGTGGCCAGTCTTACCATGTGATGTATAAATTGGGAACCTTTTATGCATCAGTCATCAGCCCAGCCCCACCCTACCCACCCCCCCCAGCGTTTCCAGTCATACCTTGTGATGCATGGCCTTCCCAGTGTGATCCAGCTTTGTGCACCTGATTGATTTGAAAGACACCTTGCCAGGTGGGGCTCCTTGTACCTAATTGACTAGGGCTGTTCTGACCTTGCTTAGGATTTAGAACTGTAGGTAAAAAAATGGTGGCTGAACAGGCCACTTAGGATTAGCAGACCCACAATTAACAGTTCATTCTTTTGGGGACAAATAAAATATTTTTTCAATCTTATTTTATATCACACAGTACCATAAATATGCCAGAACCCAACAAATACCTATAAGATGAATGAAAAACAAAGGCAACATTAAAAATGCTCACAACTAAAACATTTTTCTTACAAGTCACCTCTTTACCTCATGGCCATTTGGATTGCTGCCTTCGTGACTGTATCTTCTATGACAGTCTGATAAAGGACAGTACCTTGCTAAAATCCCTTTGATAATCCTTATTGGCCTTAGAAAGGCAATTTGGTGAGATAAAATCCAAGCTTTATTCAATATCCCTCAAGATCTGACTCCAAAGCAGCAAATCACTCCACTCCACACTGCTACAAGCACACCAAATTTCTTTGTATTTCACAAATGATCTTTCTATATGGAAGATTTTGTTCTTCCCTTGTTGACTGACTCACTTCTCATATAACAGATTCAAGGTAAAATGTTGCTTCTTTGTGGAAATCAGCCCATTTCCTACACTATTTTCAGTCCCAGACTGGATTAAGTCTGTCTCCTTTGTGATTCAATAGATAAGATCTGGACATGGCTCAATTCCACTCTTTACTAGTAGTGACTTCCGATCAATAATTCCAAAACTTTAGCACGTATCAGAATCACCTGGAGAGCCTGTTAAATCATACTGTCTGTGCCCTACTCCAGAGTTGTGATTCAGTACCTCTGGATGGGTCCTGAGAAACTGCTTTTCTAACAAGTTACCAGGTGACACTCATGATGTTCTGGGTAATCACTTTGGGAACCTCTGCTTTAAAAAATTTAGTGAGGGGCCTCCCTGGTGGTGCAAGGTGTTAAGCACCACACTATGAAGCAATCCGCAGCCTCTGCAGCATGAGCTCAATCCCTGCCAGGAAGAAACCCACATGGTGCAGCAGACTTCTCCTGTCTCGCCCGCTGCTCCCCTCAGCAGTGTACTTCAGTCGCTCTGCCTGTTCTGTTCCCCACTCTGTCTCTGGTGAATCCTCTCACCTCCTGCATCTCTGGCCTGTACCCCAGCTCTTGTATGCATAAATAAATAAATCTTTTAAAAATAAATAAATAATTTAGTGAACCTCTCTAAGCCTTAGCTTTAATCTATAAAGTGAAGCAAGAAGAGGGGAGGGGTGTTAAGAATTAGTTGAGGCCTCCCTGGTGGCGCAGGTGTTAAGACACAACCTATGAAGCAATCCGCAGCCACTGCAGCTTGACTTCCATTCCCGGCCAGCCAAAGAGACACCCACATGGCGGGACAGATCTCTCCTGTCTCACCTGCTGCTCCCCTCAGCAGTGTATTCAGTCAGTCTGCCAGTTCTGTTCCCCACTCTGTCTTGGTGAATCCTCTCACCCCCCGCATCTATGGCTTGTACCCCAATTCTTGTATAAAAATAAATAAATCTTAAAAAAAATTAGTTGAGATAAAATATATGAAGTACATGATATGAATTAATAAACAATGCAATTTAATATAGTTTTTATATCATCATTGCTTTCATCACTGTATAATATTGCAAAATGAACAGACAACTTGCCAAGGTAGAACCCATAGAGAACAGAGACAAGGTGGAATCAAAGTAGCATATGAAGTGCTTTAGTAAGTACTAAATAAACATTTAATGGAATCGTTTCAAAGTAAAAGCATTCAGTAAATGCTTCATAAAATGAATTCAGGTGTTTCTATGTAGGTAACCTCTATATAGAATATTCCAAAATTCATTAGTTCAGCTCCCTGTCGCCTTGGTTTTCTTGGGACTGTTTTTACTGATTGATTCCTAAATCACTTGTGGGTATCGTGAATCAGTTCCCACAGCTTTTGTTAGTAGAAGAGTTAAACAACATAGAGTGTCTTTCTATAAAGAAACTAGAAATAAATAACCACATGGACTTTTCAGTTTCAAACTGAAAGAAAGTGGTTGTAGCAGTGTATTCCCCTGCCTTCTGTGCCTGAGCATATGCCTTCACTTAACACTGGATATGGGCTAGAAATCAACATGTGATGAATTTAATTTGCAGTCCTTTGCAAATTCTTGAAGGCTCCTCTTTAGACTAGCCTTTCCTGTTTTTACTGGCAATCTATACCTTCATCCTGCTCTTTGCCCTCCGAGCCTCATATTTTCTATTCACTCATTAGTTCAGCAAATATTTTCCCACCATCTGCTATGTGGCAAGTATTATTCTCATGGTGGTGATGACACTGAGGCAGTCCTTGCTCCACAGAATCAAAAGCCTGGCATTTACCAACTTGCACTGTGATTGTTTGCTTCCCTGTGTCCCATGCTAAGCTGTGAGCTTCCTAGTGGTCTCTGAGCTATCTAACTGACCATTGAGTCTCTAGCTCATTATCTGGTATGTGGTCAATATTCATACATATGGATTATTAGCTACACAAAGGTAACTTTCTTATTATATTAGTGCTAAGATATGGAACTGACATATACTGCTGGTCCATGAAATGATACGGCACCAGGTATGTACTCTTAACTATAGAGTGTTGTTCGAATTTCAATTGGGGCCAATGGATAAAATGTGGGAGGTTTATTATAGCAATCCAGATATCCAGCTTCTCTTGAAAAACCCACATTTTTATATTGTACCATGAAGAGCTGGGATTAATTCCCACTCTACCTGCTCCTTTAGATTGCACATGCTTTCTACTTTTCACTATAATCTCTACTGTTCCTATTGTAGAGTGTGTGTATATGTGGGTGTGTGTTTGTGTGTTGCTTGTGCTTGCATAGATGTGGGGTGAAAAAGAAAACAATTCTTTAAATTCTATGTCAATCCCCTGACATTTTGTCTTACAAGTTTATAGGACCCTGAATCCAACACTGGAAGTAATAATGGTCTTTTTTTTTCTATAGTGACAGAATGCTAACAAGGATTTTGTGTCCACTTTGGGTCTTTTTTTTTTTTTTTTCATTTTCACAGTAGTGTTCTTATATTTCTCAAATTAATTAGATAATTCCCAGCTGCTTTCCTACTATGATGTGTATCCCTGTGCAGAGTAAAAATATATGTCTATATCTATCTGGTTTAGGTTGTTTCCCTCCCTTATGATTATTGAACTAACATTTTTCATTTGGCTTGGTTTTGTCACATGAGATTGGGATACTTGACAACATACAATTCAATTTCATTTACAGTTTACCAATCTAAATATATTCATGTTTTGTTTCAGCTATCCTTAAAAGGAGAGGAAGCAAAGACTTGCCAAAATCTGAGAAAAAGGCTCAACAGACCCCCACAGAGGTATGTGAAAATAGAATTTCAAGTAGTACATCATGCACCTCTAAATGTATATAATAATGAACTGCACCTATAAGTAGACTTACTAGCCAGATATCCTAACATCAAAGTTAAATTATTCATATCAATTATGTAGCTTAGATACAGGCAATTCAAAGCAGTCCATATCTTTGCTTATGAAGCTAGCACTAATGTTTCTATTATAACTGCTTTTACATTGTAAGCATGAAACAAAATGTCATTAGCATTTTAGAAGTTACTATATTTGAGAACTGTACCTATGGTACTAATCTTACTCATTTATAATTAATGAGATGAACAGAATGGCTGTTCCTATAGTATCAGGGACGAGTAAAGAAATGAATGTTGGAGAAAAGGATGATGGAGGGAAGAGAGACTCAATTCAGAGAGTCCTGCAGTAAGGTGATTCTCAGAATGAGAAAGCAAAAGAAGGGAAACAAATGAAATAAATCTCAAAAGAGAGCATTCAACATGGACTTGTTAAGAACCTTAGAAATCCAGCCACAGGAAAGACTAGCTCTGCTTTCAGGGTGAATAGGTGTTAATGGGTAAAATAGGAGATTTTAAGCAGGAGAAGAAATACTTGGAGTTGGGTGTCAGAAGAAAAAAAGAAATATTTGTAGACAAAAGTGACATTTGCTCTTTAAAAAGTGACTGCATAATGACTTATATGTGTATGTTGGAATCAGTGGTGTATTTTTAAAAATTCTATAAGGTATAGAATTCTCATGAGATAATAACTTTAAAGCAATATTTAAATATTCTAAATTAGAAAAAATGATTTTAATCATTATTTTACAGTATAACATAATACATTTTATTGTCCCTTTTCTTCTCTGTTCTTGGTTATTTTTCTCCTGGTATTTGCAAAGAATATTTATAGACCTCAGCATTTTCTAGAATTCCAGAGAGTCCCATACCAAGATCATTAGTCCTATTTTGTACCTTTCTCTCCATTCCCTTAACAAGTTTGGATATGCTCTTTCACTGCAGCTTCCCCACATTTGTCTTTGCCATAATTTTAGCCACCTCACTAAATATTTTGCTGAGAATAATTTCCCATGCTGCCATCAATTCTTTTCCCCACCTTATTTAGGGAGAAGATGCCATATGCTCCTTGTTCTAAAATTTTAAGTCAGCTTCAATCATCGGGTTATTTTTAAAAATTCATGTTTGTCCTATTGTCATGCTTTTCATGTCCAAGTTTATTTATTCTTTTCAACAATATTCTCTACTCCAGAAACTCTGAGTTGTTTGCTCCTAGCTCTGCAGACCTTTCCCCCACTCCATGTGCATAAGCTCTCCTTTCTGCAAAAGATATCCACAGCTTTCCACCATTTTGTCAGTGGGATCTGGGACTTTACAGCAAGCAAAATACATTGCAATCCACCAGTTTTTATTTCAAGGACACAAATGTCCTAGGAAATTTATATGGTGTTGTATACTGTGAATTCCCTGCTATCATTTTCAATTCTTCGATTTTCAAAGCTTATTACCTGATTTTTTTCTCCCAAAAACCCACCTAGGAGAATGATTGGAAGTATTTTGGGTAGATCTCAATTACAGAACAGTTCATTATTCTGTTGCTCAGTCAAGGTTAAATACCATTGATCCACATACTTGTATTACTGCAAGCTTTCTGTTCTGTTGTAATTCTTACCTAAGTATTCATCTCCTCTCCTTCACCAGAAGATTTTATAGGCAGGGCCATCTTATTCAGCATTGACTCCTCAGTGTCTAGCTTTCTGCAACTCCGTACAAGTAGATCATGCACCATTTAATACTCCCATGTCCTCTGAGCAAATTGCCAACATGCTATTGATGCTGACCTATGGAAATAGCAGTTTCACACTGTTCAACCCACTATAAGTTTATAGCTTTCTATTTCACATCGTCAATTTGCTTCAAGTTCTTTACTGTATTCTTTACATGTTGCCCCAACAGGCCAGTAAGCTACATTTGCTAAGAAATGACATTGCCTAGCAACAAAGAATAGTAGTTTTAATGCCAGGTGGCTTAGGTGGAAATCTCCGCCATATGGCAGCCATAGAACCATACTAAGTCATCCTTTCTAGGCTTCTTTTCCTTGCCTATAAAGTGGGAATGTAACAGAAAAAAGTACAGATTGATTACATTATTAGAGGTCATTTTAACTCCTCGTGGTGGCTATTGAAATCAAAGGCAGCCTCAGCTCACTTCTTTTGATTCTTATCATGTCATTTGTTCCCCCTCCTCATGTCATTTGTATGTTCTTAAAAGTATTTAATAGACACAAACATAAGAGGCAATTTGCTTCCTATCTCAGAATATTTTATTTTTCCTAACCTATCATTCACTGAGGAAAACGACAGCAAATGTTTACAACTCAGTTACAACGGACCATGAACTTTCCATACTATCTCTGCTTTAATGTTTTTGACATTTGCGATGGTTTTTCCATGCTCACTTCCAAATGCAGATTACAATGGTTAGGTTACATAATAAGGATGTAAAGCACATTGGCATACAGGGTTGTTAAACTTTTGACATTACCAAAACTATCACACTTTTTAGGTTGGAAATATTTTTATTTAAATATATAAAATAAGTATCATACCCATCACAGTGACTTGGTTGCAGGCAGTATATGTCCAAGTCTTAAGAAAATTGCTGTGTCTTCATTCCTTTGGGCAGGAGTGCTTACATACACATAAATATGGTAACTTTTCATTTTATATTTGCTCAACATAGCCCAGTGAAGTGTTATCCTGCACCAGTCTGTGATTTGTATCACACCCACGGCTGTTTCAGTTAGATTTAAACTGCAGTATTATGCCAACTTTTTTTTTTTTGCATCAGCAAATAAAGGCCTTGTCTTGCAATCTAGGACTGCCATCATGCCTGTAGCCCAGCCTAGTTTCCTAATCTCACCTACTCTTACTTTCCAACAAAACCTAGCTCAGGTAAAAGCATATTGTTGGTCATCTTTCTATTCAAACATTGTTTGTTTTTTTAAGAAAGATTTTATTTGTGTGTAGAAGAGCTGAGACATAGACCAGAGGTACAGGGAAGTGAGAGGACTCATCAGAGACAGAGTGGGGAACAGAGCAGGCACTGACTGAAATACACGGCTGAGAGGAGCAGTGGGTGAGACGGGGGAAGCGTGCCCTGTGGGTTTGCTCCCCAGCGAGAATCAAACTTAGGCATTAGAGGGGATTGCGCTGAGACTTAACCCCCAGGCCACCAGGGAGAGCCCTAGGCCATATATACTGAGCATCTGGCAAGAAGCTCATTCTTCTCACCTTCACTGGCAGTGTTGACTACATTTTTACATGAACACAGCTAATACAGTATTAGCTAGTACTACAATAATACAGTATTGGGGAAAGAAGGTAGTTCTAGTCCCATTTTTTTTTTAATTTTGTTAGTTGGCTTATTTAAGATGAATGTATAGTTATTAGAAATTGCTAGGATAGTTGTCACAGATTTTGTGCCTTTTTATATCCCCATTGGTTGTTCTACATACTTGCTAACATCTGGCAATACAGGTCTTTTTGCAATTATCTATTCTGGCAGATGTGTAATAATATCCCACTGAAACTTTTAATTTAAATCTCCCTGGTGACTAATGAGGCTGAACAGTTTTTCCAATGTATTTTGAATATTTGTCCATTTCTATATCACCTTTCTTAAAGTGTTTCTTGAACACTTGCATTTTTAATTTTTTACTATTGAGTTGTAGGAGCTCTATATATATTCTTTATGCATTTTTGTGAAATATATGCATTGTGAATATTTTCTCTGTATAGCTTATGTATTCATTTTCTAAAAAGTTCTTTTGATGTGGGAACTGGGAATTTTTTGTTGTTGTAATACAGCTTAGCATTTTTCATTTATAGATTTGCATTCTATGCCCTTTTTAGGAAATGTTGCCAACTCCATTTCTATCATATGTTTTATTCTTCAAACATAATTTTAGCTTAAATACTTAGGCCTGTGAGTCATCTCCAATTAATATCTATCTACATAAATAAATATATATTAATCTTTCTATATAGAGAGAGAAGGTAAAAATTTATTTTTATAGATATAAAGTAGTTCTAGTAATATTCATTAGAAAAAATTTTCTTAAAAGAAAAAAAGTTTCTTATACCATGTTGCTGAAAATCAATTGACAATGAGATTATTTCTAATCTTTTTTTATTTTTGTTACATGGATCAGTTTGCCTATGCTTATCCTATTACCAGTCTATAATAATTCCTATAACTTTCTTTTTTAATTATTTTTTTAATTGAGATAATGTTGCTTTTCAACCTTGTATGTGATTTAGGGGTATAGGTTCACACTTTTCAGATGTATGTTACCACACCACGCCCACCACCAAAGCACCAGTAATCCTTACTATAGTCCACTGGGCTACCACCCTGCTCTGCTCCCATTGACTTCAAGTGCTTGTTTAAAAGAGAATCTTCAGAAATTGTCCTTGGGAAATATGTCCTCAGACATAATGACGTGTATTTATATCAGCTCTCAGAGAAAGAGTTGATTTCCTTTTTTTCCTGTTTCCAATTTTCAATGTAGTTAATGATTAAATTTTAAAGGTTATCCTCAGAATGTGGAAGAATGTCTATAAAGTGTACTCCACCATCCTTTCACCAGCAGAATCAATTTTACTTCTTTTAGACTAATGGGCATAAATTTGCATGGACCATTCCAGTATTAAACTTTTCCTACTTTAAAAACCTTTACAAACAATCCTGCCTTAATGAAAGTTGGAGAGCAGGCATTTTCTTTGTGGTAATCAGAAACCTAAGATGTTCAGTCAGACAGAACTGAATTCAAATTTCATCTTTGTCCTTTGTCACTTCTTAGCTGTGTAACCTGAACATGTTACTGAACATCTTTGAACCAGGCATTTATTACTTACTGAAAACTTTATGTTGAACATTAAAGTCATATGTGTTAAGAATGTTACAGAACTGGGCCTCCCCTGGTGGCGCAGCAGTTGAGAGCTGGGTTGCGAAGCTGCCTGCAGCCTCTGCAGTGCCGGTTCAATCCCCGGCTGTTCCCCGGCCACCGGAGGAGGGTCCCACATGGCACGCAGACCTCTCCTGCCGCCCGCTGCTCCCCTCAGCAGTGTACTTCGTCAGTCTGCCTTTTCTGCTCCCCGCTCTGGCTCTGGTGAATTCTCTCACCCTCCCGCGCTTCTGACTGTACCCAGTGCTTGTATAAATAAATAAAAATAAATCTTTTAAAAAAAAAAGAATGTTACAGAACTGAGAGTGCTCAATAAATAGCAGTGAGTGTGTATTAACCACCTGCTCCTTCTAGGGAATGGGTTTCATATTGATATTCGGAGGAATTCAAGCCATATTTTTTAAAAAGTGGAGGGGGGGGCTCCCTAGTGGTGCAAGGGTTAAGTACAGCACTATGAAGCAATCTGCAGCCTCTGCAGCACAAGATCGATTTCCTGCTGGCCAGGGAGAAACCCACATGGGGCAGCAGACCTCTCCTGACTCACCTGCTGCTCCCCTCAGCAGTGTATTTCGTGAGTCTGCCTGTTCTGTTCCCGGCTCTGTCTCTGGTGAATCCTTTCACCCTCCTGCACATCTGGCTTGTACCCCGGTTCTTGTATAAATAAATAAATCTTTAAAAATAAATAAATAAAAATAAAAGGAACATTGTTGAATGATAGCCAAAGACAGTTTTTAGTATGTAATATTATTCTAAGCTTTAATTTACCTAAATATCTCCCTCTCCCTCCGCCCTTCCCACGTCTCCAGCCTCTCCACTTCTCTCATTAAATCTTCATTACTAGGAAAATGAATTATTTTTGCAGATGTCCTTTTTTTGGATTGTTTTCTTCATTTACATAAATAATGATCTCCTGCCATTTCCCCCTCTTTTCCCCAAATGAGGAGGACAATGAAGATCTGAAATGCCAGCTGCAGTTCGTGAAAGAAGAAGCTGCTTTGATGAGAAAGAAAATGGCTAAGATTGACAAAGAAAAGGACAGATTCGAACACGAGCTACAGAAGTACAGATCCTTTTATGGGGATCTAGACAGCCCTTTGCCCAAAGGGGAAGCCGGGGGGCCTCCCAGCACCAGAGAGGCGGAGCTCAAGCTAAGGCTGAGGCTGGTGGAGGAAGAAGCCAACATCCTGGGCAGGAAAATCGTCGAACTAGAGGTGGAGAACCGAGGTCTGAAGGCAGAACTGGACGATCTGAGGGGCGATGACTTCAACGGGTCCGCCAACCCCCTCATGAGGGAGCAGAGCGAATCCCTGTCGGAACTGCGGCAGCACCTGCAGCTGGTGGAGGACGAGACCGAGCTGCTGCGGAGGAACGTGGCGGACCTGGAGGAGCAGAACAAGCGCATCACTGCGGAGCTGAACAAGTACAAGTACAAGTCGGGCAGCCACGAGAGCGCGCGGCACCATGACAGCGCCAAGACCGAGGCCCTGCAGGAGGAGCTGAAAGCCGCGCGCCTGCAGATCAACGAGCTCAGCGGCAAGGTCATGCAGCTGCAGTACGAGAACCGCGTGCTCATGTCCAACATGCAGCGCTACGACCTGGCCTCGCACCTGGGCATCCGTGGCAGCCCGCGTGACAGCGACGCCGAGAGCGATGCCGGCAAGAAGGAAAGTGATGACGACTCGCGGCCACCGCACCGCAAGCGCGAAGGGCCGATCGGCGGGGAGAGCGACTCCGAGGAGGTGCGCAACATCCGCTGCCTCACGCCCACCCGCTCCTTCTACCCCAGCCCCGGGCCCTGGCCCAAGAGCTTCTCCGACCGGCAGCAGATGAAGGACATCCGCTCGGAGGCCGAGCGCCTGGGCAAGACCATCGACCGGCTCATCGCCGACACGAGCACCATCATCACCGAGGCGCGCATCTATGTTGCCAACGGGGACCTGTTCGGACTCATGGACGAAGAAGACGATGGCAGCCGCATCCGCGAGCACGAGCTGCTCTACCGCATCAACGCGCAGATGAAGGCCTTCCGCAAGGAGCTGCAGACCTTCATCGACCGCCTGGAGGTGCCCAAGTCCGCCGAGGAGCGCGGCGCGGAGGAGCCCATATCCGTGAGTCAGGTACAGTTCTGCCTATTGCGAGCCAAGGCGATGGCGAGGCTGGCCCGGGCCGCAGTGCCCCCCGGGGGCGCGTCTTCCCGCACTGACCTCCATGCCCCATTTTAGGGAACCCCAGTGCAGAGCCTCACGGGACCTGGAAGCCCCACCGCACACCTCTTTCACACTGGCCTTCAGTCCTGATAATTTTGATTTCCAATAATGCAATCACTTGGGAGCTATGTCCCCTCTCTGCATTGTTTCACCACGCTCTACTTTTGGTGTAACGATTAAAGGATTTTTAAGGTGTATTCTTATTGAAGGCCAACATTTTCAATATTACACTGATTCTAATAGATCCGCTGTAAGAGTATCCCGAATAGGAATCTTCAGCTATGGATGTGCTGTTTTAAAGCCAAGATTCAAATTGAGTTTTAAAATATTTCTTTTTAAATCACTAAATGAGCAGGACTGATACATAACTACTGGTAAATATAGTAACCGGAGGCAAGGAGAGATGCTATTGTGTCTGCAGCCCCACTGAAAGGAACAAATGGAAGCTGCTCCTTTACCATGTCCCAGTAACATGATCATTTTTTCTAGAGAAAATCACTGACAACTCTATTGTGGAGATCTCAGGACTGGGGAAAGAGTGTTTTTTCTTAAACTTTAAAAAGCAATACTAATTCAGAGAAATAGTAAATAACTATTCCCGAACAGGGAAAGCCAGCATTTTTCCTTCATCCTAATTTGTAGAGGCACAGCTGATGAATTGGACTGAGCTGCGCTAGCCAGGTATGGTGGCTACTTAAAGACCAATGCATTTTGTCAGCGTTCACCACATGAGAGAGAATTTATAAAACAAAACAGGCCATGCTGCTGCCTCTGGCAAGCCTGGTTTCCTGTATCCATTGGAGACCCAAGGAAGAACAACGGCATGCATGGCTTTTAAGACCCGCAAGACGTTTAAATTTACAATCAGTTTCTACACAGAAGCATGATATTAGATTAACTGCCTGTTAGCCACAGCTATAAAAATTGCAGCCTTATCTCTTATTTACCTTGCATGTTGCTTTGCTTTGCTAAAAAAAAAGTTTTATGATAAAACTGGATTTTAAAATGGTGAAGCTTATTTTTTCAACTTATTATATAAAGTATTTGCTTTTTCGTTTACTTGTTGCAGATTGTTGAAATCTTTGAGCATGTGGTTTTTATTAATATTTTCAGGGGGAGGGAGGAATAGAAATTAAAATGAGAGAAAGCACTCTGCATAATAATAGGCTTCAGGTTTTGTAAATATAAACTTAAGATAGAGTTTTGGTGTTTTTTTAAAACTGAATGAATGCTTGGATTTTTGGATATAAACTTAAGTTTTAAAAATTATTATTAATTACCTCTTTTCTTTGTCTTTGCATTTACTTTCCCAGATGTTCCAGCCTATCATTTTACTTATTCTCATTCTTGTATTATTTTCATCACTTTCTTACACAACGATATTTAAGCTTGTCTTCCTTTTTACACTGTTTTTTGTACTGTAAATCTTTCATCATTTACCATTCATTGTAGTATTTTCAGTTTGTTTATTTTGTTCACCCTTCAAGACAAGAAGTAAAAGAAGTATAATTTCTGTAGTAACTACTGCTATAAAAACACTGAAGACTGCTTATTTATTTAAAAAGACACATCTTATCACTACCAAATAAGAAGCCTAAGCACGAAAATTTTTCAGGTAAGGGAGCGTTGACTTTTATATATATAAAATTTTAATTTTTGCTTCTTTCACATTTTGATTTATATTCTTCTTGATAATTGGCAGAATGACTATCAAAGTTGACTATATCTCTCAATTATTTCTCAGTCAGCAGTTGTCTAACATCGTATTCAAAACTGGACATTCACAAGTTGGTCACATTTCCAAAAATATACAGAATTGTAAAGTACCTTTAAGAGGTTGTCTCAGAGTAGCAAGATAATTTTGATTTCCAATAACTGTCAATGAAAATGATGGTGAATGAATGAAATCACAGAATATTTCATGAAAATAAAATCATGAAAATGAACATGTTGCAATGCTGATGGTATTCTGTCTAAAAAATGTGTTTAGAAGCATGAAAGTAGATTAGGCAGTTGATTAGACTCTTTGAGAAAATAAATATCTCCATTCTGACCAGCTTCTGTTTTTATCAGCCATTTCTGTGTTTACCTATGATACATAGAACTATGTGTTGTTAGTCAAGTTTATTGCCTGGCGGCTTATGCTCTACAATAAATGGCCATACTGAACTGTTTCAAGAACAGGGAATATGTTAGAAATATAACATATGAAATATTTTAGTAGGGAAAAATACCCACTCTCTAGCATTTCCTTAAGAGACGATGCAAGACCAGTAGCATGGTTCCAGTGGAATTTGCTCTCTAGACATAAACTTACTTTAGTAAACTGAGCTAACTCCTTTCCCCTTATGTCTAAAGTGACCTGGATAGATTCCATGTTACAAAAGGCCCAATTCTGTCTATCTCATTGGCTGTTTTCCCAGTAGAAACTCGAATGCTGCCAAGATGCAGAAACATCAGTGCTCCTTGAAGTCTTGTATTTCAATGAAGTCATGTACTTGGAAATACATGCAGATTGGTTGGTTGATGTGAAAATCTGTGGTAAAGAATCCTGCACCTCAGCATAAACAATAATCAGTGGGAAATCTTTGCAATACTATGAATGCTGGTACTGGTGATCGCCTTTTGGATCTCATCCCCACCAGTGTATTCCTTACTCTTTGAGTATTAATTAACAACAATAAAACACAATAGTTGAAAATTCAGCTTAAAACGTTACTCTTAATCTCCATGTTGCTTTTTCTGTTTGGTTTTTATGTCATTTTGTTTTCCATGGTAGGGAGGAAAGACCTGAAGTGAGTAGTGGTTAAGCTATATCTGCAACCTCTTACAAGGTTCTTCTGACTTTTCAGATTAGAGATTCAAAAGACTAGGTAGGGGGCCTCCCTGGGACGCAGGAGGTTAAGACGAAGCCTGTGAAGCTGACTGCAGCCACTGCAGCATGAGGTCGATCCCCAGCCAGGGAGCTGCCCACATGGAGAAGCAGACCTCTCTTGTCTCGCCCACTGCTCCCCTCAGCAGTGTATTTCTGTCCATCTGCCTATTCTGTTCCCCACTCTGTCGCTGGTGAATCCTCACACCCCCCACACCTCTGGCCTGTGCCCCTCTTCTTGTATGCAGGAATAAATAAATCTTAAAAAAAAAAAAGGCTAGATAGAGCTTTATGATGAAAATGAATGAAATAATATGTTATAGGGCCTCCCCGGTGGCGCAGCGGTTGAGCGCTGGGTTGCGAAGCTGCCCGCAGCCTCTGCAGCGCCGGTTCGATCCCCGGCTGCTCCCCGGCCACTGGAGGAGGGTCCCACATGGCGCGCAGACCTCTCCTGCCGCCCGCTGCTCCCCTCAGCAGTGTACTTCGGTCCTTCTGCCTGCTCTGCTCCCCGCTCTGGCTCTGGTGAATTCTCTCACCCTCCCGCGCTTCTGACTGTACCCAGTGCTTGCATAAATAAATAAATAAATCTTAAAAAAAAAGTAATAAAAAAGAAATAATATGTTATATTTCATCATTTTAAAATTTTTTATCTCAAGCAAAGCAACCACTTTATATTTTTCTCACTTATTCCCTTTCCCTTCCTCCCCTTCCCTCCAACCGGTTAACCTCAGAACTCTCACTTCATTAATGATATGCATTTGTTTTTGTATTTTACTTTGTCATATCATTTACTATGTTAATGGCCAGTACTTGTCTTTGTCATCTTAACTTGCTTTACTACATACAATTCCCTTGAACTATCCCATCTTGCCACAAATGTCAACAGTTCATCTTTCTTTATGACTGGATAGTGTTCCATAGTGTGATCATACCACATCTTCTTGATCCAATTGTCTATTAATGGGTAGAAAGAAGCCATTCTAAAAACTAAAATCTGTTTGTTAGATCCTTGATGAGACTCAAAGTCACCATCTCCGAGGAACCATTTTGACAAAGGAACTGAGAGTAAATTTTGAGGGCTGAGGTTATTGTGAAATGTTTATTGCCTTTGGAGCCAGATATACTAGCTAAGCAGTGGTCCTCAATTACCTATGGGACATTGGTAGTAAGTGGAAATATGGGTTGTCAAAATGACTGGGAAGCTTTATTGGCATTTAGAGGGAAGGAATTACAAATAACTGTCTTGCCCAAATTGCTAGTTTTCTCCCTGTCTAGAAATTCAGCATGCAGTGCACTTATTGTGTGACTTTAAGAAAATGACTTCAGAATTTAACTTTTTGTATCACAAGAAAATTGAGGACTAAATGTTAAGAACAGTGGTTCTCAGTCTTAGCTGAATATCAGAATTATTGAGATGTTTATAGAATTGATGCCCTACTCCCAACTAATTAAAGCTGAATGTATGGATTGAGGCATTTATGTTTTTTAAAACTCCCCAAAACTACTGCATTAGATGTGTCTGTTATCTAAAATAAGTATATACAGCTATACCAAGGTTACAATTAACTATGTGATACTAGATTTATAAACTCATCAGCTGTCTATTTTCAAAAGAATTTAAAATTCCAGCCATTCAGTGAATGTCCACATCCTTTCTAGAGCATTTCCACCTTTGTCATACAGCCTTATCCAAAAGACCACTAATGGCAGAGCAGTGCTTTTTCCATACTGATAATAGTGTTAGAAAACTCTCTTCTCATTAATACAGTTCCTTGAAACCAATATAGAGAGAATAGGAGTAATTCTTGACAGAAAGAAAAACCAAGATTAATATTGTGTGTGCAGAGAAATGCACATATCTAGGGATGGAGGCACATGTGCTCACTGAATTACAACTCAACTCAAAATGATAATCACACACACACACACACACACACACGCACACACACATCATGAGTTTCCACTCTGTATCTTCATACAGTTTTCTCTGCCACAAAACTTCCTTGTGTTGATCCAAAATGAGGATATGATATTCCTCCTTGAGTAGTGGCTACCAACTGACTAACCTCTATAACAAGATGGGTAAGAGCATACACAAGAGATATGAGAATGGAGTAAAAACATACAGCACAGATCCTTTGTTTAATGAACATTTCTAAGCAATGTTAGGTATAGAAGAAAGTAAGGTTCATTTCCTACTCTTAGAGCTTTCAATTGGTTGATTTAGCAGGACACATGGGAACAGCTAATTCTAACATGTGCTTTTATTGAAGTGCAAAGAAAGATTTGTGGTTGTAACTTCTTGTTTATTGACTACCTCATACCCTGTTAGATTTTCCCAAGAAAATGCAATAAAACCTCTAGGCGTTCTTGGATGGAGTGATAAATGCAAGAAAGGAGTGAGGTCTGTGCTAAACAAAACACCAACCTCCTTATCAGATCTCATTAGCAGTTACAGTCATCCTGACAACAGGGGTATTAATCTTATTTGCACACTCTGAAGATTTGTAGAAGAATTGCTTTTCTAGAAGAATTTCATGAGAAATTTGAACTCCATCCAGGCCTTCCACATATGGAACCCCAAGATATTGGACAGCAGAAAGTGGCTGAAATAGGATTGACTTGGTGACTGCTTATAGATCCTTTAGGATTTGGGGTCACTCTGGTAGCTCCCCTGGAGTTAGTGAAGCAACCTCACTGTCTAGTCAAACTTCAGGAAAGGCCTTTCCAACTCTGTCTTACCCACCTGAAGAGTCAATTTGGTAGTTGTGCCTGCACATACACATACTCCTCTCCCACAGTGTTGAAAACAATGAGATGTGTGGCCAGTGACAGATAATTCAGACCTGCCTTTTTCTTAAGGGACTGCTTGGAGCCAGCAGTTGGGAGGTGTTCCCAGCAAACTGTCAGTAGACACTAAGTGACCTTTTCCCTTGATTTCTCCTCCCTGGACTTTAGGCTGTTCTGTGACCATCCAGGAATAGGGTACACCTCTGTCTTATACCCAGGACATAGACTTGGAAGGATAAGTTAACAAAGATGATATCCAAAACCTCAGAGAGAGTCTCCAGTATCTCTGCTACTTGCATTATCTTTTGTTATATAAAACTAGTTCTAAAAGGGGAACATTCACGCTTCTTTGTTCATCAAGAGAACTGAGTCCTCCAATTACTGAGACAAGGGACCTCTTATTTGTACCTTTGAAGTCATGCTGTTTAAACATCACATTGAAAATAAATTTGAACAAACAAACCTTATTGTAGAAAATTCCCTTGCATGCACATTCTTGGATGTAGGAAGAAGTGCCTTTGGCAATTTGGCCTAGTTAAAAAAAAAAAAGAATTCAGTTGGCTATTTTTAAGCATAACTGACTCAAACTCATAAAGCAAAGGAAAATCAGTGCTGATCCTGGAATGTGTATTGGCCTGCATTGCCCAACCTTCACTTCATTTTGTGTGGTATTTAATCAGCTGCCAGTGAAGTTTGGAATGTCAGTTTGGTCACTGAGCCTTAACTCCAAATATCTGTGCAGTGTTTGTGGCTATATATTCT